ATTAAGTTTTGGTTTTGTGTCGAGCTAAGCATTTGTTTCGAAGCGCTCAGTTATTATCACTGTGTTATTCCACATAAATTATGCACGTAAAAACGTCACATTTTTCGTCGCTTTTGGAAGGAGAATATAGACTACAAATGATGAGCAATCCAAACATTTATCGCTTTTTCGAAAAACATGTACGGGTCGATGGCCACCACTGGTTGGACAGGCACATGTTTCATCTCGCCATTGGTAACGGTGCAAGTGAACATCATCGCAAAAGCTCACACATACTAGGCACGTCTTTCTCGCTACTAGATTCGGATACCGGTTTTAGGGCAAGTGCTTTACGCAATTCAAGCGGACAAACGTTTCTACCGGTGGTGTCGAAGATACGCCGCATTGCTCTTCTTGGTGGATCGGGCAGACTTCAGCGTTGCAATGCTGTCAAAATTGGGAAAGCATCTTATTTAGGAAACTAGTATGTATACGTTTCATTATTTCTCCATTCAATCAGCTGGTTCTCAAGACATTAGCTTTAAGGCTGTTCGCCCACTCGGAGTCTCGATGAGAGAGCTTGTAAAGCATATTCCGAGTCATTTCCAGCACGCCCTGTATATAAGTGACTTCCTCCACTCCGCACAGAGAGGCAGACCAGCTCTATCATCTGTGTTTTTACAGAATGCATGGCGCAAACAATCAACTGGGAAAAATAGGAAGGAGATAACGTTTGAAATGTAGCTACGGGCGGGTGACCAAAATGTAAGGAAATATATATAGACTTCGGTTTAAATAGATACATTTCTTAGCAAAATATGCAGAAACTTGACAAATTCTGTCAAACTGTAACTGGCACAACAGGCTCTTCATATACATCACTTGTGCTAGTCACATGTATGTTATGGGTAGTTCAGTTGATCTTTATGTTTGGCTTACCGCCTGATCATAAAGGCAGGACGGGCTCGTTGTCTTTGTAGACAGACTGAGCAAGATGGTACATTTGGCATCTTGTAGCACCAAGATCTCAGGAAAAGAGGCGGCCCTCTATTTTCTGGATCATGTTTAACGACTACACGGGATGCTTGATTCCATCGTATCGGACTGGGATCCGCGTTTTACGTCGGGTTTTTGGCGACATGTTTTTGGGCTTCTGGGAATCAAGCTCCACATGTCAACCGCTGATCATCCACAGACCAATGTCCAAACGAAACGAGCCAATCGAGTCGTGGCGGATGTATTGCGTACTGTAGCGACTCCTAAGGAATGTAGCAAGCAATTCCATTCGTGGAGTTCGCTATTAATAACAGTGTTCACGCAAGTACGGGTGAAACACCGTTTTACATTAACGGACTGATTCATCCTCGAACGCCATTCTTCTTTGTACGCAGCCCTAGTCTTATTGGGGGAGGGCCCCTCACTTCGCTCGGTGCGAAAGCCAAAGAGGGTCAAACTTTCCCTAGTGACACTGCCAATTTAGCAGTGGTCACGACACCTATAGGAATCAATGAGGAGGCACGTCAACAAATGCTTATACTCCTTGACGATGACACTATAGTACCATCAGCAACGTCGACCCATGATCGACCTCTTGGAGGCGTCATAGGCGAGCTGGATGCTAAAAGCGTGAGCGAAGCTCAGCGCTTTGTGGATGAGCGATTAGCCATCACACGTAAGATCCGTGACGCGATTGCAAGCGCACAGGACAAGCAAAAAAATATGCGGACCTACATGGTCGCAAAAACAATGAACACTTTCTTGTTGGAGACAAAGTGCTATCAAGTACTGCTACCGTACCTAAACATGCAATTTCTGTACTACCTGGTGGTACTACTAAGCTATTTCCCCGGTTCATTGGGCCATTTACGGTGGTTGAAGAGGATGGAGACCTACATTATAGGCTCACTCTCCCACCGGATATGAAGACGCACCCCGTATTTTACGTGGGTCGTCTGAAACAATATGTCGATTCAAAACAGATCACATATCCACATCGGTCTAACGAGAACGATGGTGACGTCGACTGTGAGTCGAGCGTCGTTGCCGGTCAGGCGACGAGGAAGCCGATAGGCTCCCCGTATACGAACGAGGCGATAGAGGACTCGGCGATCGAGGAGGACTCCGCGTTTAACGTGGGTCTCTCATCACCAGTCGCTCATGTAAGTTCAAACGGAGCTTCAGGCGGTCGTACCCCTGACGATCCCTCGTACTCACCGCACGTAGATCCGAAGTCAGATGCCAGACTTGACTCGAAAGATCCACCACCTCTTTCTTCAGTGCAGCGATCTTCGCCTGCTACTGAACGACAACAGGATAGGCAGCCGAAAATAGTTGGGCGTAATCGCTGCTCCTATCGGTCGCCAACTGTGTTGGTGTATGCGGGTGGGAACACACGCTTCCTTGTTGGAAGGTTGTTGTGCCACCGCCATATAAAGAAAAAGCTTCAGATCCTTGTCCAGTGGAAAGGATACCCGAAGTGCTTCGACTCGTGGGAACCGATTAACGCGTTGCGCGTCGACGTGCCTGAGCTGACGGCTGCTTACGAGCAGAAGAATCAGCTGCATTGCTCTGCTATATCCTGATGGACTAGCAGGGGAAGCGTAGCGAGAAGGAGTTGGGGTATGTTATCACCCAATATCTCCCTTACACGCGTCATAGCGAAGATGGTTCGCTGCGACCGCTGTTTCACTGCATCTGCGTGAGGAGTTACACGGCGCAAGAACTTTGACTCGTATTCGTCGACTGTTTCATTCGAACGCAACACGACGGGGATAGGAAAGCACGACCACGTGCTTTGCCCTACCTTTTACATGATGAAAAGACGCTAAATCGTTTATTAGCGTCAATAGTGGCACGCCTTTAGAGCGTGCACGTTTTACACTCCAGCGTGACAACTCGGATGGCGGTGGCATAGCTGGCAAACCATAACTCACGTAGCCTCCCTTTAGACGGCGTGCTAGTAAAGCCGAGTGCGAAGTTGAAGGGGCTTTTTGCTCACCCTCGCCTGAGTCTGACTCTCCATTATGGATTATCAAGACATCATATGTAGGGTTAACAGAGGCGGACGATTTAGTATCTCCAACCTGCTGTGGAGTCGCGGCTGTTTCTTTCGAAACAGCGCGCTAAGTTGTGGTCGCTGTGCTCGTTGGCGCAGACGACGAGGCATGATAGGAAGCGTGGAAGCTTCCTGGAGGTTGGTGTCTCGAATGATGGGGACAAATGTCCCATCAGAGCACTATGCTCATCACACACTTTGGGGTGATGGCAATGGTGTACTCTCATTGTAGTCAACAATGAGGGACAGGTCATCATTTGCACCATAGTGGGATGGACCAGTAATCTTTGCTGGCAAGCTAACATTAGATTTCGGCGTTGTCACAGAGACACTTAGCGACGGCTGCGAGTTATCGCGGCACGTGCGCTTTCTGATGGTTTGCATGGGCGCCTTTGCATGCGACCCATCAGCCTTACCACGTTTCGGTGGCATTACTCTTTATTCGCTGTTTGACAAATGTAAAAATCGTCTTGAAGAGGGGGATGGTGTAACGGGCTACAAGTTGCACGGTTCGTCAAGTATCGTATATTTAACGGGCAGGCCTAAATGGGTACGAGGTATCTTGGGCCTGCCACTTGGGTGAGGCACATCAATGTAACCCACCCTCGTGAATGTGATATCCATGGATGGATTCACATTCAGTGGGGATGACGCCCAGTGGAGACTGGACGCCATGGTGACGCTTCAGACGGGCTTCATCAGCGAGCTTAAATATATTTTAAGCTTGGACGTAAACATACGCATTTGAAGAGACGCGTAACCAATCTTTGCATAATTAGCCAATCAGTAGTTAAACTTATATTCAGTAAACTTCTATTGAATATAAGTCAGTCTTGAATTTACTACATAACACTCACTGCGCACGAGACGACTAAAAAGATTCCGTGACGCAATTAGGTGCTTGTTTATAGCTCGTTGCGAGGTTCGCTTAAAAGCGACAAGAAGCGGTTGGTACAGCGCTTGAGCCTTGACCAGCACCAGCAGCACCGCACGCGGAGGTAAGACAGTCTAACGACTTCCTCGCTCTGCTTGAAGTTGTGCCCGCGTATTACGTGACAGCCTTTTTTCGAAGCAACCGTCTACAATTGAAGGAGGCAACTCCTCCCCTGTACATAACGATGTCCCTTCTCAAAGCACCATCTCTAGCGTGAACGTTGCTGACAAATCTATCTTGTCTATGCTTCCGGAAGTATTTTTCACTGGAAACGATGACAGTGAGAGCAGGTGCCTTAATTACATTACGTACACGTGAGCAGAGGAATGCAATCAACTAAACAAACGCTTAGTTGAGAAGGAAAAGAAACTGTATATAATATAGCTAGCTATCTAATAAACTAATCTGTTATAACCTATGTTAACTATATTAAACTACAACTATGTATGTTGACAACTTGCCCTCCACTCATTGCGCGCGTCCATCGGTCATTGGTCAGCGCGTTGGCTGATATGATGGCCCATATCAACCAATTAGAGGGCATTTCCAACTTCAAGGAGATTTAGGGACAATATTATAAAAAAAGATAATATTATCAAATATTTTTAGTCATAATAGTATTTTATTGACACTTCTATGAAGTGTCAATATTATGTAACGGGCTCACCCTGTTACACTGATGCAGTCACGTGAAACGTCAAATTATTATGCAGGCAAAATTACATATTGACCTAACTTTTTGCTACTCCAAGCGTGGTCACTTTCGAAGAGAGTGCGATGAACTAGGTTTAAACAAATTAGGAAGCACATCGTTTATCGAACCATCGGCGGCAATACCACATTTATTATCGGTGTAACTGTGCCTATCGAAAGTGCAAGCCTATGCTTTTTAAACACATATTGCAATAGAGCTACCTGTACAAGACGCAAAAATGTATTGAGCCACCAATTTTGTACGGGTCTTATCGTATTGTCATCATCCATCAACTTCAATATTGCACGCCATAGGTTTGAGAGCCGTTTATCAACTTATTAATATGCCAGTGGGTAGTCCACAAACACTCGACAAACTTCTCTCGCTGCTGAAACTGTTGCTGGATCCAGGACAAGCGCTTTGCATGATTCAAGATCTGGACAAACTGCGATGTAAACTGGTTGCTCGGTATCACCAGCACTCTTCACATCTTCTGGGTAAAAAATCTTGTTCATTTCTTTCAGCTGGTTGTCGTCAATGTCATGCTGTGCCGCGACAGTAAATTGAAGATACGCTACATTGCCCTTCTTGTCGGATGTAGACTTAAGCTTTACAATGCTGCTGATATCCGGATAACCGTTACATCCAAGAAACCAGTACGAGAACCTTTCATCATCTCTCCATGTGGTCAGATGGGCCATAGGATCGGCTGCCCTTCCGGAGCAAATTGCATCATGGTCTTCCAAGTGCACCCGCTTCATTTTGAGCTGACGCGACCCATTTTCTGGCGGATCATACTCGCTAATATAGAGATCCAAATCGTTGTCGGCAGCCAGGCGATGTAGAAGAATCTCAAAAACGGCACTGGTGAGTGAATTGTTTCCATTATTTTTCGCCCACGTATACATTTTAGACAGTGCGCCCGATCGCAGTCTCACTGAGAGACAACGCACAACATATTCCGAATCAATCATATCTTCCCAACACGAGATATATACGAACGGATCCCACCACCTTGACGAGTAACGCGGAGCTATGTCTTCTGTTTTTTTAAGAATGTATGGCGCAAATGATCAACTTGTGATCTCGCCGTCGAAATGTTGGCTATACTGTTAAGCAAGTTCGAGGCGTCCTTTACACAATTTATCGCATCGTCCATTTCCTTGATTATGTCCATGCATGTAGGCAATGTAAAATCGCGCACACTTCCGCCAGAGTAGTAGAAGCGATCATCCATATCCTCAGGATGATACTTATGGATGAGTTCTCCCATCGAAAAGAGATCCGTTCGTGACCAACAAGGCATCAGACAGTAGAACGCATAAAGTTGATCTTCAGATTTTAGGTCCACTCGCTCTGACGTTGCCAGCAACGTGAACGTTGTCAAACTAACCGGAATATCTTTGTATCGAAATTTATCCAACAACAGCCATACGTTCGATATGCCCTGTTGGCGGACGAGCTCTTTATATATGTCGTTCGCAGTCCGGTCTTCGCATCCCTTCACTGCAAACTGCACAACCTTGCCATCTTCGTAACCCATATAAAAGAGACAATCCGCCTGATTTTTTTTACGCAATCGTCGGTACACCAGCACATTCTTCCTGTGCTTGAAAACGAGATGAAAAGCCATCACGCACAACAGAGTCGACTTGCCAATACCCGGCGAGCCTATTATAATACTCTTCTTGTTTGCCAGCGAAGAAGACTCTCGAAACCATCCATCCATCAGCAGAGACACAATTAGCGTATTTTCCATTCGCCAATATATTTCTTCCTTCAGGGTGCATCCACCCAAGCTGCTCATGAATCTCCAGATCGAGGGAATCTTTTGCACAGCGTTAACATCCCAGTCGTTCAGTGAGATGCACTCCTCAGCGTATTTTTCGGGCTCGTTCAATGCAGTTGTTGTAGGAAGTTGAACGTTCGTTGTAAGTGAAGCAGCATACACGATCGGTTCAGGCAGTTTCACTAGCACGTGTACAGGAACAATTCCGGCTGCAACATCTTCCTTCGTCACTTGAGTTCGTACAGCTTCTTCCGTGAAACCAACCACGCTAAGTGGCGCTCCCGCATATTCCAACAGCGTCAGACCACTGGTGCTCCACGCGCCTTGCTTCACCTCTGTCTCCGTCAGCCACGCGCCGCGGCCCTCGTCTCTCTTTGCCAAGAAGAGCTGCAGCTTACGTGCGGTAATTTGGATTATCACCGAGGTACCCTCTTTAATGGCATCCTTCAAATGTCCCACCGACTTGTTGTTGTCGATGTCCACAGAAAAAGCTCTTCCTTCTTTCACCAGCGCGCATATTAGTGTTAGCAGCACCATTTCTTTCAGCCTGTAAATTGTCGAATGAGAGAGAAAGGGAGGGAGAACATTGCTGAAGTGAAAAACATCACTTTGAGCTAGTGACGCCATGTACATCACTTTGAGCTAGTGGCATCATGTACATCACTTATGCTAGTAGTTCTGCAAAACCTGTAACTGACACAACATGTCACATCATGCACATCATTTGAGCTAGTCGTTTCTGCCAAAGCTGTAACTGGCACAACATGTGACTAGCACAAGTGATGTATATGAAGAGCCTGTTGTGCCAGTTACAGTTTGACAGAATTTGTCAAGTTTCTGCATATTTTGCTAAGAAATGTATCTATCTAAACCGAAGTCTATATATATTTCCTTACATTTTGGTCACCCGCCCGTAGCTACATTTCAAACGTTATCTCCTTCCTATTTTTCCCAGTTGATTGTTTGCGCCATGCATTCTGTAAAAACACAGATGATAGAGCTGGTCTGCCTCTCTGTGCGGAGTGGAGGAAGTCACTTATATACAGGGCGTGCTGGAAATGACTCGGAATATGCTTTACAAGCTCTCTCATCGAGACTCCGAGTGGGCGAACAGCCTTAAAGCTAATGTCTTGAGAACCAGCTGATTGAATGGAAAAATAATGAAACGTATACATACTAGTTTCCTATATAAGATGCTTTCCCAATTTTGACAACATTGCAACGCTGAAGTCTGCCCGATCCACCAAGAAGAGCAATGCGGCGTATCTTCGACACCACCGGTAGAAACGTTTGTCCGCTTGAATTGCGTAAAGCACTTGCCCTAAAACCGGTATCCGAATCTAGTAGCGAGAAAGACGTGCCTAGTATGTGTGAGCTTTTGCGATGATGTTCACTTGCACCGTTACCAATGGCGAGATGAAACATGTGCCTGTCCAACCAGTGGTGGCCATCGACCCGTACATGTTTTTCGAAAAAGCGATAAATGTTTGGATTGCTCATCATTTGTAGTCTATATTCTCCTTCCAAAAGCGACGAAAAATGTGACGTTTTTACGTGCATAATTTATGTGGAATAACACAGTGATAATAACTGAGCGCTTCGAAACAAATGCTTAGCTCGACACAAAACCAAAACTTAATGTAGATGTGGTCTAGGCGAGACTTCTCGTCGTTTCTACACGCGGGTATCGACAAAATTTGGTTCAGTTATAGATCTTACTCTAGATGTAAACTGTAACGGGCCAATAGCTACACGAGTCCGCTAAGTATATGATTTAATTTTTCAAGGAGTAGGTCTAACAGGCTACGTGGTACCTTAGGCCTGCCACTTGGGTGTGGCACATTAACGTGACCCATCCCCGTGAATGTGATATCCATGGATGGATTCACATTCAATGGGGATGACGCCCAGTGGGGACTAGGCGTTGTGGTGACGCTTCAGACGGACGTCATCAGCGAGCTTAAATATATTTTTAGCTTGCACGTAGAGATACGTTCTAAAGAGACGCGTATCCGATCTTTGCATAATTAACCAATCAGTAGTTAGATTTATATTTAATTAACTTCTATTGAACTCAGTCTTGAATCCGCTAAACATTGTCCAGTGCGCACGAGAACTGAATAAGCTTTTGCGTGTCGTAAGCTGCTGCTGGTATCTTCTTGATGGCTGGCGGCTGCTATGCGAATCCTATCGTGAGCGTTCTGACCTCGGTTGGAGCTAGTAACTTAAATTTTATACCCATTCATGAATACTGAATATACTGTGGGGACGAAAGTCTCTGCTTTTAACTAGATAGCAACTTTCATCAGTGGATGTGTGGAGCTCTTGTCTTAGCAGTTCGTTTCGCAGTTCGCTCCAAAGCGACCGGCAACGGTTGGTACTGCGCTTTAGCGCCGGCCAACAACAACACCACCACCGCACGCGGAGGTAAGACAGTCTAACCGCCTCCTCACGCTGATCAAAGGTTTGTGCTTGCGTAGTACTTGGCAGCTTCTTTCGAAGGACCCGTCTACATTTGGTAGCACTTGTAGTCCTTATCACGACCCGTCTCTCTGAGCGTGCGTGTGGATACGAATGTCCCTTAGTATGGATTGGGGACTCTTCTCACCTCTTCGAACGCCATAGGGAGTTGGCAGATCATTTGGTGCAGGGACTTGGTAAACAAGCCCTCGCCAACCTCTTGCATTGTCCTTCTGAGCAACATGTGGCTCAATTGGAACAATTCGAGGCGTTTGTGATCGTACAGCGTAGAAATGCGTCCAAGCAGTGGATGAGTCCATCAGTAAGACTTAGAATGATCTTTTGCGTGAGCAGGCACCTAATGAGGCGCTCAAAAGAACTGGTGAGACGCTCTCTGCCCGGTCTTATCAGCCAAGGCCCATTCGTATGGACCCTCCGAAGTTTAATGGGACTGCCCCACATATGATTGTTCACTGGATTTTAACAGTGGAGCAATGCGGTATGGCGCAGCTTATCGAAGACGACACCAGGATGGTGTCGTATGCCATGTCAAATTTGCGTGGCAAAGCGACAGAATGGGCATACTCTGCGCTTATGGCAAACGCTGATGCGTTTCCATCATGGACCATCTTTAAGTCAAAAATTCGTGCCATGTACCAGCCGCCTAACAATGAAGTATTACTTCAGGCGCGCTTCTTTGGAGCACGACAGGCGAAACGATCTCTGCAATAGTATGTGCAGGAGATGCGTTCGCTGTCGGCGTCCATTCATGTGGTTTCGATAACGGAACACATTAAGGTGCCTGCGATCATGAATGGACTACGGCACGGCCCATCGCTTTAGTCCTTTTTAGATGATGCCAAAAACGATGGAGGAGGCAATTGATATTGCCATGGCTGAGGAGAAATCCTACAACAGTGCCTTGACGACAGCTTGTTATAAGCCTTCGGCCGAGAAGTCGGATGACACTAAAATGGAGTTAGTCAATGCAGACGTGGTCTACTACAAGTGCGGCAAGCTCGCTGCTATGTCAAACTTGCTGCTGGGGCCAAGGGGCCCAGCAAAAAGTTTATCATGGTTCGAAGAATCGCGCACGTCGCATGGGTTTAGATTCGACCCCCGATAAGTCGGGAAATGCGGGAGCGCAGTAGGGGCGGGATGACCTACTTTCACGGCTCTGAACCCCTATGTTCAGAGTTATCAAACAAATGAATAGCATAGTACCTGAGGTTTCAAAAGATCGTACCCTGGACTCAGGAGCAACGAACAATTTCTTTCGTGAATCTTGTTTGTCGATGCTGCCTCTTAGCATTCAGGTCCGTGAGGGGCCTGGCTGAGTCGTCGTCAACTTGGCTGACGGGAAACCACACCGCGTATCGCGGCACGAAGTGTCGTTGCCGTACAAGTTTGACGGTTTTCGCAGTAATGATGATTTCTTGGTGATCGCAATGAATTATGCATTATATTGCATACTGGGCATGCCATGGTTGGAACGTTATAAGCCCCACATCGACTGGTTAGCCAGATCAGTGAGACGTCGACGCAAGTTCGATGTCAGTGAAGTGTTTACCCATCAATTGGTATCTCCAAGTGACTGGCCGAACGTCACAGTCGTGAATCGTGATTCCACGACGCTGGAGGTGCACAGAGCGAGCGATGTCCCTCTCTGCAGTGCTTGTGCAGTCCTTCGAGACACAAGTGACAGTGACTCCTCGCTCCACAGCGAGGAGAACGACAAGGACGACGCGGTCGAACAGGGGTCCCTGCACGTGAATGCAGTGGTTGAACCGGGGTTCCCATCTGCACCTATTGTGGTAGAGCAGGGGCTCTCACGAGAACAATGTTACGACGAACAAGAGCTCGCCGACGAATGTGACGTGGATGGACAGGAGTCTCCGAAAGTGAGTATGATGGTCGAACCGGAATTCTTATCATCACCCATTGTGGACAAACCAAGGTTCCCACAGGGGCATATTGTGGTTGTGTGGTGGAGTGGGTTCTCAAGATTGTATGATGAGACCCCAAACCACTCACTGTGCCGGACTGCCGACTGTAGGAGGGGGTACCCCGATGCCGCTTATGAACCTTCTTCTCACCTTGTGTACCCGTCGGCTGGCGGGTTGCACTCTTCGGAAGACTTGGTGAGGATGCAGACGTCTGCCTTGAGGAAGGTAGACCTGGGTGGCCTCGAGTGGATATGCTTCACTCGGTGGGCCGGTCTGTGGCCACTCGATCGACCTTTTCGAGAGTGGATTTAAAGCCAAATTCTACAGGGGCGCTTGTCGTCCCTGGCCTTTTCCTTCTTGTTTCAGGGGTATTAACCACCTGACCTTTACGTTGCTTCCGGACCTTGATGTGAGGGAGACCGCTTCCGATAGCGGGTCTTGGGGGGTGTTCCTACTCGAACGAGCTCACAGGCCAAGTATATCATGGAGCTCTATTCGCACTTGAACTTCGCTACACAACTGTCTTCGACGGGGGGCCAAAATGTATCCCTTCCCGGAACAGTGAGTAGCTTAAAGCAAATTCTTCTTGGGTGACGGAGTCGTGCCACGTGGGGTTCCGCTCGCACTTGAGTCTAACCACACGTCTGTATTCAAGGGGGGGGGCCAAATATATCCCTTCCCTGGAACAGGCGTGTGGCTAGACTCGAGTTCCTTTACAGCGCGACGAAGACTTGCCAAGTAGATCGCAAATTGAGTAGTATTCAATATAGTCTTATCCTTTTAACTCCTTTACTCTATCCTTGCCTGAAGCTCTGATTCCTTGCGTCGACTGTTCTGATCCTTTTATTAACTGGTCCGGAGTGGCTGAACCCCGAGGGGCCGAGGTCGACCAATGAAGGACCCAGGTCGACCAATGAGGGACCCAGGTCTACCAATGAGGAACCGGGTCGACCAATGAGGGACCGGGTCGACCGATGAGGGACCGGGTCGACCAATGAGGGACCCAGGTCGATCTATGAGGGACCCGGGTCTACCAACGAGGGGCCAGGTCGATCAATGAAGGGCCATGATCAACTCCCTTTGGTACCGGTTAACCGGTACCCTGATACTGATTTTCTTCGGTAGGTCCTG